TATGCGCTGCACGTCATGTCGCTAAACCGCCAAAATTCCTGAAAACTTCTAGTTCAGGAAAATTAAATAAGGGTATCTAGTTTCAGCATAGGTATCTTAAGACTTACAACTTTCATCAGCTCCAGCATCTCTTCAAAAATATCCTTTCTTCCAAGTTTGGTAGCAAGCGTTAGTGGCGTCAGGCCAGCTGCATTGACGATGTTCGGATCGGCTGGTTTGGCCCAGTGTCTCACTGCGTAGCTGTACATCGACTGCAATGTAAAAAAATTTTTTGATGCCGAATTTATCGCACAGTCTCAGTTTAAGATTTTTGCCTATCAGTTTGGCCATGCATTAAAAACATAGTAATCTTAATCAGCCAAGTTTCATTTACTGCTTCAAGGATCGCCCCGTACAATAAGACTGGAGTGCCCAGTGGGCTATGGGAAGTGTAATTTTTCTGCATCCAGAACATACCAACAACAGCCCTGTCCAACCCCATGCCTTTTCCTATTCTTCCCTAAAATGGACCGTTACGCTCATACTTTTGTTGGTTTTCATGATAACTGCTCTTTGCTGTTATTGGCAACACAACAAAAGTCAGCTCAGAAAATCATTCTTATTAGGCAAAATAAAACTAGGTTTTGCATACATGGGTACGAATTTGGAATCGGGTCGGTTCTCATAATCTATGTCGCCGATTTGTTAAAACCAGGCAAAACAAAGAGAAACGCCGCAATTCACTTTGACTAGAAGATAAGAAAACTTCAAAAATGTTAGTGCATTCTTTTAGCTCAAAGTGGATTTATCATGTTCCACTTATCCTCTTTTCCGGAGTCATTTATTAAATTATAATAATAAAAATTAAAAACGTTTAAACGGAAATTAAAAAGTTGATTTCGACTAAAATGTGAATCCTTATACAGTACTGATTGGCCTTTACAAATTTTTGATTCTCAGATAAAATTCTACATGCAGGTGAATTTTAAAGCAATTTCTGGCTAAGTGTAACTGGTCAAGTAAGCTTGAAACTGATGACTGAAAAAGAGAATCTAGCATGATTTTTTTTCGTTTCTTCTAATAAAGCAACCGTTGAAGCAACCGTTCTAATAAAGCAACTAAATCTGCAAAAAATAGACACAAGGTACGGAACTGCCAAGCTTACAAAAATACTAAGAAAACTGGAATACATTGCTGTAGTTGATAACACACATATGCAGAATCGTATTGCCAAACATATCTTGCAGGTTCGGATCTGCACCGTACTGTATCAGCAAATCATATATATCTTTATTGCCAAAACATGCCGCAAATGCTAGTGGATATTCGCCGTAATACGCATATCCTGAAATAGTCCGTTATCTTCGTTCACACCTGTACAGAAATGCTCATTTTCTTTTGCTCCAATCCCAGAACGGGGCATTGAGGCCTCTGTTCCACACTTTTCACACAATAACAACATACATCTCATGAAGACGCATGCACATCAAGCAATACCTTGATAGTCGGTTACTTTCCTGCCTGTTTTCTGATCCTCTGGCAAGAAAAATGTCCCACAAGCTCTCGCATTTACTTGAGCAGAATTTTGCAGCAATAATTGAACCGTTTCATAGTCGTCGTGCACGATTGCTAAATGCAGCGCACTCTGACCTAAAGCGTTTCATTTCAGTGTACAAGTATCATTTCTTGAGTTGTTTAGCCTTATCTGATTTTTCCTCCGTACCTAAAAAATATTATTACCTAAAAAATGCTAGCAGTTTTTTCCAGGATCCTCTTTTACTACTTTACTGAGGAAGTTCATCTATATTTTTGGTGTTGCTCGATTTATTACTGAACTTTTTTGACTGCAGATAATTGTTGCTATGCACGATGACATGGCATACGCTCGAAAACTCAAGTGCGCTATGCGCTTCTTTGCTCGACTTTTTGAACGTGTAAAATTAGACTAAAGAGTTATAAGGATGCGTAAATTAATGGATTTTTTTTTTATACATCGCCGTAATAGATCCTGGTAAACAGACTAAAGTAGGAATTACTATAGTACGAATTCAGTAACTGTGTGGAAAAAAATGAATGATTGCAAAAAACAAAAACAGCGTAAGACAGTGATTTTTAGTAAGAAACTGGATCCCTGCGATCTTGAAGGGAGATCAAGTACTGTTTAAAACAGACCAACTATTCCACGAAATAAGCATGAAAACTTGAGGAATCTTTCTATCGTTTTTTAATTACGGTAAAGGAACCAGTGCGAACGATCGATCCATTTCGCAATTCTCACCAAAAAAAAGAAAAACATTAGAAAAGCAGACAAAAAAAAAAAAGAAAAATCCTGTTTCAGTGAAAATTTTCAAAAATGCCTTTGAGAATTCCGGTCGCGCTACTATAAATTTACATAGTGCGCAACAGTACATTTCCTGCGATATTCTTTCTGGCCGCTCCTTTGTGGGCTCGTCCCTTCAGCAGTCGCGCTGGGATTCACTTGGACGGTCTCTTTCAGACTTTCAGACATCTGCGTAAGACGTATGGTCCATGGACAACACTTTCATAGAATAATTCGTTCATCAGCAACTTATTAGCCAGTGTATTGCCGAGCTGCTTTGCAGCCTGGGACAGTGAAAAAATAATTTGTTTCTTACCGAACATCTCGTCGCCAAGATAGATGTCGTTT